CTAAGTTAATGGTGTTTAGTTAATCATATGGGTACATAATGAACACACCTGCAGGAAAGACGGTTAAGAGAATAATATAAGTATTAGAATATAACCTTATTTTTTGAAATCCTTTAGCTCACTATTTAATGCTCTCATGCTAAACTTCAGTAGATAACTTTTTGACTTTCAACGTCACCATGTGCTAGTAAAGCGAAATGAATCTACTTTATTAAAAGAGGGCACAAAAGGTATACAAGATGCTTTCTGTTGTTATTTGTGCTATTTTACTTCTGAAAATAAACAAACTTGAATGGAAAGGAGACGGGAACTGATATTTAGTATTCTGTAAATTTTTTCTTAGAACCAGTGAGAGATGCTAAGTAACATATCCTTCATTATTTGATTTTGGGAAAGAATTCTATACAAATGAAGACAAATGTACGAAACTTCCCTGACAGTTAACTGAACAAAAGAAAATACTCGGATTCTTTACTAACTTAGAATTTACATCTTTGCATTCTTTAGTATATTTACATTGTTACCTTCAAATATCTTTGAGTGCTTTTTCTAAAATTTTTCCTAACATCCAAACAGCTTTTGAAAGGAGGCTACTGATCTAATCTGTAGGTCAATGTAATGTAATTGCACTAATTTATATTAGGAAGGTACACAATGCCTTAAAAATAATTAAACTATGGCTAAAAAATCCAGTGCCAAACCATGGAAAAGAAAATATATTTAACATCGCCTAACTAAGATCATAGACACATTTAGCTCTTGATTTTAAGGCAAGGCCTGCGAACTTTTCCTTTTATTAGGCATAATAATTTTTAGCCAATAAGAAAGACCATGAATTGATTTTTTTTTAAAGTCAGAAATAAGTTCCCACGGAGAGAAAGCTAACTCATTGAGTTTGTGGCATTCCGTGGAAAAGAAACTGTGGGTTACTCAAACCTCCTCTTGATTCTTTGGCCAGCCACAGAGCCAATCTTGGCAAATGGACAGAACATACATTTCCAAGTTTGCCAAATAAAGACAGCTGCTGCCTAGAGTTTTAAAGGCCACTGTGGCGGTATTTCTAAAACAAAACAAAAACAAAAACCAGTCTGACCTGAGCTTGACAACAGTGGCCGTCAGATTCAAAGAGCTGATTGGCATACTCTTTCCTTCAATGCACTTTCTATAATTGCCAACTATTTTATTTAGATTCTTTTATTAGTGGTTTTATCTCCATAACTAGAATATAAGCTCCACGAGTCAGTGCCTGTCTAGCTCACTGTTTTATTTTCACTGTGAGCAAAGTAGCTGGCATATGACAAAGAGGCCTGGGAACTCTGTGCTCTGCTTTTATCCTCACCTTATTGGGTTGCCACTTTATAGAGTGCATCAGTAAAGTTAAAGTATAAGGAATTTCAGATGTGAACATATTGATGTGAAATCATTTCCCCCTTCTCAGTCAGAAAATCATTCAAAAGAAACAAGCCAGAGCTTCTTTTTTAAATTTTTTTTAAGTTTTTAAAAATTGAAGTATAGTTGGTGTACAATATAATGATTCACAATTTTTAAAGGTTTTATTCCATTTATAGTTATAAAATAGTACAATAGATTTGTGAGTATATACAAAACTTTATTTTTTGTCCTTAGTTTTTACACAAACAGTAGCATCGTAGGCAAGACTATTCTATCCTACACTTTTTTATTGAAAGTGTACATCTTGTTATATACATAACTTGAAAATCTCCTATTGGCGTACAGAAAGTTAGAGGTTAATTCTCAAGGAATAGGTGGATCTAACTTATTTACTGGCATTCTATCAGTAGGCATCTGATGCAATGATAAACTTGTACACATGTCATTCCAAATGTGTGCAAGCAAATCTGTAAAATAAATTCACATAAGTGAAATTGCTCGGTCAAAGGGCATGTTCATCTGTGATTCTGCTAGGTTCTGCCACATTGCCCTGCACAGAAGTTGTAAAATTTTAGATTTCCACCAACGCGGATGAGGCCAACTAAGATCTCACAGCCTCCTCGACCCCCAAATGCTGTTTTAATGGTTAACTGTTCTTCCTTTGTGCTAGGAGCTGTTGTTAAGCTTGTTACCCAAATTTACACATTTAATCCTTAAAATAACATCACTATGAGATAGGAATAATTCTGATTCCCATTTTACAAATGAAGAAACTGAAGGACAAAAAGTCAAAAAATGTGTTCAAAGTCTATCTGGTGGTAGGACTCAGACCCACATAGTCCAACTCCAAACACAGGCTCTTACCCAATACTCCATATAAATTCTTTAATCAGATTTTATACTTTTGCCAATATAAGAGGTGAAAATAGTATATTTTTCCCCAAGTGGAAGCATTTGATTGATCTGTCATCAGTATGTGGTCAGAGAGAGGTTTTTTGAGGTAGTATGGGGAAACCTGCATGCTTCTGTGCTATTAGGAACAATCCAGGGGAGAGGGAAGTTTTCAACTAGGAGGCAGGTGAGGATTGCTGGAGTGGTACCTTGAACAGCCAAGAGCAAGCAGATCTTGTGCACCTTGGATCCAAGTACAGAAAGGTTACCTATAGTGACCCATGGAATGGAAAAGTACATGGGCACACACGCTATTGGTTGGGCTGGAAGTCTGTGCCAGCTTTCTTCTGAGTGCTTCATTTTTCCTGAGTGTATTAGCAAAGCAGGTCATCAGCTGAGAATGTGGATCAAGGAGAGGAAGACATGAAGCAGTAGCTAGTAGAGAGAGAATGAAAGAACTGGAGAGACATAGTAAGAATGGGAAGCAGCATTCGCAGGCCCCTTGAAATTCATCATTATTGACAACGAAGCAAGACCAATCAGTGTGGTTTTATCTTGTCACATTTAGTTGAATAGACCCAGGGTGGGTAGGTAGAAAGGTGGATTTAATCAGAGTTGGGGTTTCAGACAGCAAGTTCAACCAGGTGAGAGAGGGCAAGTACATATAATATGCTGATTAAAATGATGGGCCATGGGATTTGAGATATATAAGGAAGACCAGTGTAAAGGCAGAGTTGAAGGATTATTGCAATTGGGGTTCTGGAGAAAATGAGCTGGAAATCCAAGGGGTGATGCTCAAAGAGAGGGATTCATGAAACAAGATTTATGAAGGAACTGCAAATACTGAGAATGAACAATAAGTTCTATGTAATGACCATGGGAGTGTCTGAAGTAAGACAGAGGACAAAAATCTTTGTATAGTTTTCCCCAAGCCTCATTAAGAAAGGAAAGACAAATTGAAGAGGACAAATGACAGTACATGAAACATATCAACAAAATTTGGCATACAGAAAGCAAATGGATAAGAGGGGAAAAGTGGAATATAGAACAATTAGCAGAAAAATAAACCAAATAATGAGGGGAAAAAAGTAATGGGCTTACAAGAAGCATAGATAAAACATAGAGATATCAAAATGTTTGGAGCAAAGGTTGAAAAATATATACAATGCCAACCTAATCCAGAAAGAAAGTTGGTAGAGCAATACTAATATTAGACAAAGACAAAGTAGACTTTAAACTGAAAATCATTACTAGGGATTGAGAATAATGAAAAAGACCAGTCTACCAGGAAATGCAGGTCCTAAATTTGTAGGACCTAGTAACTTAATCTGAAATAATACAAATTTTTAACTGACAGAACTTATAAATAAATGAATTCATTTTCTTAGTAGGAGATTTTTAATGCAATTCTCTCAGTAGCTGATAGAGGAAATAGACAACAACAAAAAAAGAGGGTTTAGAATATTTGAACAGCATCCTTAACAAACTTGGCTGAAGTGAAACATATATAAAACACTGTACCCAGTAACTCTAGAAGAGATGACCTTACCAAGCACGCATGGATTAGTTATCAAAATCAACCAAATGTAGGACATAAAGCAATTCTCAACACATTTCAAAGGATTAAAATCAGTACAATATCTGATCATGATAGAAGTTAGCTAGATGTAAAAGCAAAAGAAAACAAAAATATCCCTATGTTTGAAAATTAAGCAATATACTCTAAATAATCAAAGAAAAAAATCACAATAAAAATCAGGAATAAAACTAACTGCAAAATAATGAAAATACTGTTTATCAGAACTTACGAAATACAGCTAAAGCTGTGATTGAAGAGAAATGTACAGCCATAAATACATATGGTAGAAAACAAGAAAGGCTGAAAATTAATGATCTAATTATTCACTCAGAAAGGTAGAAGATGAACATAAAATTGAATCTAAAAAAAATAGAAGGAAGGAGATAATAAATATAAAAACATAAATCAATGAAATAGAAAGCAAATATAAGGTACAGCTGATCAACAGCCAAAAATTTGTTCTTTATATTAAATTACAAGGCTGACTTTTGGTCTAGAAGAGTCTCTTCAACTTTATAAATATCTAAAATGCTAATTATGCTAATGCTTTAATTCAAAACATGAATAAAATATGTTTAATTATCTTTATAATTTCTATACTTACTATTAAATTTTCCAAGTTTAAAATATACATACTCACTAAGAAAGCAATTATGCCACTCCAAATAATTTGGAGTTTTTTTCCTATGAAAATATTATTAGGCTTATTTCTCAACATGCTGATTTGTTGTCTATTTTTTAAGTACCAGAGGCATCAGTCAGGATGCCACCAGATCCTTATTTATGGGACACAGTGAACCATTTTGTAGTTTCTACATCAGTGACTCCAAACATAAAGGAAAGCTTGGGTACATACCTATTCTCTCAGATTTGAATAATTTTATTGCCTATTTTCAAGCAAAGTTAGTCTGTAATCCTCATTCAGCAGCTACACACATAATTGAAGTTTGTAATTCATTGGCTCTTAAGATATGCCAATGTCTTCTTATCCACTGGCTAAAAACCATTAACAGAATTTATAATTCTCTCCTTTTTCTCTGACTTGTTGGAACATACAACTCTTAATAATACTTGAATGTCTGATTGGATTCTGCAAATCTCAAGGCTGTGTCTGAACCTATTCAGAGCATAACTGCTACCAGCAGTTGGTCCAACGTGAGGAATTGGAATGCATGTGTGCAACTGATGTATCACATAACTGTATTTTATTCTCTTTGTAACATGCCATATTTCCAGCGTGTCATGACCCTTACTTTTTTAGTTCTTACTCCTCCAGGACAAGAAAGACCAAAAAGAAAGAAACCATCGGGTGGCCGCTGGAGCACTGACCTCAGAACTGGTCCCAGAAGTTGGGTGTCCACACACCAGGAAAAATAAACACACCCCATCCTTGTTGACACTAATTGTGTCCTTCACTTGCGTCTTCTCAGAAGAAAAGCCAAGAATAAAATTGCCATGAAGGACGAGCTCCTTCTCACCAGTAGGGGTGGCCTCCTTACTGCAGGGTGAAGTCCTGTGCTGGCTTGCTGCCCCATATGTCCGCGAGGCCGATGCTTGTGCTATTCATAGCGTGTGGAGAAGGAAGGTGGATGATCTCCTGGGACATCTAGCATCCATGACTCAGCAGCAAATCTTTCTACAAAAGTTAAGAGAATGTAAAATATGCAAAAACATAGGCAAGAGGAGACTCAGTGACATTACTCAGAACTTTCTTTCATGATCTGTGCTATGTCATCACTTAGCATAGCTTTATATAGTAAGAGATTTGTAAATGCCTTTCTGAACACTTACAGAGTTGGACTACTGATAATAAAATGTGATACTGGTCAGTCCCCAGCAGAGTAAGCGTGAGTGGGCAGGCCCACTTGACTCTCACGCATTCTCCTACATCGGCTCCATTAGTGACCAAGTTGATATTTCGACTGCCACCTCCCCAAGGTGGGTTTCACGGGCTTGCCACCTGCGCAGTCACACAGGGCCCCGTGCTTGGAGGGTCCCTGTGCTTAGAAGTCCTTGGACTTGGTTTAATGCACTGCTGTTTCCTGTCTTGAAATTCTTACTGATTATTAAACAAGGGGGTTCATCTTTTCATTTTGTGCTGAGCCCTCAAATTATGAAGGCAGTCCTGCGTATACTGTCCATTAACTTTTAAAAAATATTTCCCTTTTTTTCCTTATTTATTTATTTATTGGGGGGTGATTAGGTTTATTTATTTATTTTATGGATGTACTGGGGATTGAACCCAGGACCTCATGCTTGCTAAGCCCGCAATCTATCACTGAGCTATACCCTCCTTACTACCCACCCCTTACACCGGTCCATTAACTTTTATTTCTTAAGTTTTCTCTGCTTAGGTGAGGAAGACGGATGCTATTTACTGAGTAGATCCTCAAAATCGCAATACATTAACTCATATAAAGAGGGAGATTAATTAACGATAAAAGGCACAATTTAAGGAATTGCATGATTATACCACACAATTTAGGAACTAAATATATTAAATCAAACTATTGGAAAACAAAGAAAATGTGGTAAAAATATGATCATAGTTAAAGATTTAATATACTTTTCTGGAATAAGATGGTTACTATAGTCAAAAATTTTAAACAAAAACATGGAAAAACTGAGCATCCTTCCAGCAGGGATTTACATTTTGTACTTGTCTGTGGAACATTTACAAAAATTAACTGAGTGCTTAGTCACAAAAAAAAATTAAAACCTAAAGATTTAGGGATTTTATAGCTTACATTCGGTTAGCATAATCTAATAAAAATTAGAAATAAATAATGAAAGAAGCTCCCACCAAAATCTTAACTGTATAAATATGAAGAAGCATGATTCTGGGAAATTCTTAGACCAAACAGGAAATCAAACTAGAAATTACATAAAGAGAACAATGAAGAGGAATCCCCTTATTTTGAAAACCAGTGGGACTTGGAAGAAAATTTATAGCTGGGGTTGACTTCATTTTTTAAAGAAGAAAAACCTAAAGAAAAAAAAAGGAGCAAAGTACTCATGTTAAAAAATTAGAAAAAGAAGCACAAAATAATGCAAAGTTATTAGGCAGGTGGAATTTTAAAAATAAAAAAGTGAAAATAATAAAACAGAATGAAATACTAGAAAGGAACAATAAGTACATGTGCAGTTTTTTCCAAAAGACCAATGAGATAGCTAACCCATTCTCAGGTGAACATGATTTAGAAAGAGGGAGGGGGAGAAAAATAAACCACATTAAGAATGAGAAATCAGTTATAGCCACAGATACAGGAAAGATTAAGTCTATAGTGACAAAATTGAAAGTCTATAGAAAATCAACTGCTTACTAGCCAAATATAAATTACACACTTATCTAAGAATAAATATAAAACTCAAAATTATCAATTAGCTGAGAGATGTTAAAAGGGCATTTAAATATACACCATTGAAAAAGGCAGCAAGACCAGGAAGGCTCAAAGCTGAATTATAGTTTTTATTTATTGTTGAGTAAAATACATAAGGTGGGTGATTACAGGGGACTCATTTTATAATAATGTTTGTAAAAGAAAAATGATAAGAAAAACTTATATGTATTGTATAGTACATACACGACAATATAGGATTCTACAAGTGTGGTGAGGAAATGGAATATATATACTAAGTTGTTATGTGAGAGCACGGGATGTGTGGGCGAGGGAGGAGCAGGTGATGAATATGAGGGAAGGGGAACATGTTGCAAAAACTCAACAACAGCAACAAAAAGACAGAGACTGTACTTAAAATAACCACATTATGCATTCATGTGAAATTATTCCCATGTATAATAAGTAAAAATTAAAAAAAGAAAAAAAAAAAGACAGAGCCTACTGCCTGAAGGCAGAACATGGCATTAAGTCCACGTGGGAACAATCCCAGCTTCTAGTCCCAGCTCCAGCCTTGCTTCTGCCTTTTTCCTTTTTCTGATTTTTTAGTTCCAACATAAGCTGGTTTGAATTTCCACACATAGGTGGGAGATGGGAGCACCTCCAGGAAGGTGGAAGTAGTGTTGTTGGTGATTAAGTTCTTGTCTCGCTGCAAAGAATTCAGAGATGAGACAGGGAGGTTAAGTAAAGTGGGGAATTATTAAAGGATGGACAGTCCATTCTCAAGAGGAGAACGGGCAGGCTCAGGTGAGCAGCTGCCTTGTGTTTCTTTGGTAAGTTGGTTACATAGGGTGTAAAAATGAATGGGGGGGGAATATTCATTGGAGAGGGAAGGGTTTGGGGTCATATTCCCTGATTTTCATCCCAACTCCACCTTCCCAAAGGGAGGAGGGATTTTTGTCCTTATTTAGTCTGGATCGGAAGTGTCATGGTGTCGGTGCATGATGGGTACTTCTAATCTGCAAGGCTAATTTTATTGAAATGAAGGCATAATGAGCAAAAGGTTACATTCAGACACTGGAGAGCCCAAAATGTGTAACACTTATCAGCCCGGAGGTTCCTGCTTTTCTTTCTCTGCCCAGGGACCCCTGTTGCTTACACGATGTAGGGCTTCCTGCATTTGGCCCCTGCCCCTCCTTTTTGCCCGGTTCCTGCCATGTGGCCTGCGTCCTCCTTTCTCTGCTCATATCTAGCTATTTGCCTGCTCTAATGATAGTGTGAATATAAAACAGTCATGAAGTGCTTAATTGTGTGACTTTCCCTCTGGGGTGTAATGTTTCAGAACAACATGGAGGTGATGATTGCACAATATTGTGAATGCACTAAATGCTACTGAATTGTAAAATTTCAAATAGCTTTATGTAGAGTAAACTTCACCTCAATTTTAAAAAAGGCATAAAGAATGTTACGGGCAAATATATTCTGAATGCTCTTTCTGAGCTTAACTCAAGAGTCACAGCCATTTGGAATACTACACCAGGGAATAAACTCTCCACAGCAGCTGTAGAAATGTATGCTCTGAATTGACATCTTGAAGCTATAGAGGGTCCTCAGATTTCTTGTGTCAGACCAGAGTCCACACTTCAATTTACAAGCTCTTTTCCACCCACTAAATTAAAATTCAGTCCTTAGCTCACCACTCTTAAACCAATAGCCGAAGAAAAAGGATAGTTTCCTCTCAGAGTAGTTCCTTCAGTGGCACTCACCTCCATGCCGACTTGATGTTGTTCCCTCCCACCACTGCAGTAACTGAAAATAAATCTACCTACACACAAGCACTACAATACCCATCATAACACTTCCTAACTTCCACTCTACTTTGTTGTCTCAAACACAGATAATTTCCCTGAAAGTCTTTGTTACACATCAACTTACCACAGTAACTCTTTCAGCAAGAAAAAGTAACGTGTGTAAGTTAATCATAATGGAAAATCTACTGCAAATGAAACTAAATACCATTTATTGATCCAACAACTCCAATCCAGGTCCTTGAACTTTCCTCTTTTTCCTAATATTTTTGTCTATTTGAGCTTCCTCATATAATTTTGATTTCATTCGTTACAATTCTGTCTTTCCATACTTGTAACATCCTTGCTTCCATTTGCTTTCACCACATTCATCCTACATCCTGCCAACCCAACATGCGATTTTACTATCTGGCTTCTCCACTCCTACATCTGGGTTTTGAGTGCTTCTGGAAAAGTAACATAAAATTATAGATTGATGTCATCACAACTCTTGAGTCTGTTAGACACATTTCCAATGTTGGAGTTGGAGCTGAGTTCTTGGCAGAAAAGGTACATCCAACCTGAGGTTAAGGAAGAACAGAAATCAAGAATCTTGCAGAACAGACAAGAGAGGAGAGATCACATGGAAAGAAAGATGTAGACCAAGTCAGAGAGATAGTGAGGCTGCCTCTGACATTCCAGTTTTTTTTTTTAATTGAAGTAAAGTCGATTTACCATGTTGTGTTAATTTCTGGTGTACAGCATAGTAATTCAGTGATATATATAACTGAATATATATATATATATTCCTTTTCATATTCTTTTTCATTATACGCCTTTACAAGGTATTGAATATAGTTCCCTGTGCTATACAGTAAGACCTTGTTGTTTATTTTATATTGACATTCCAGTTTTGCTGTGTTACTCTACAGCTCCCCTTTATTTTTGAGGTAGCTTGAGAGAATTTGTTCTTTGAAAACAAATAATGCTTCACAAACTATGGGCCCACCTTTCCAGACACTTAAGTTTCTGCACCTGCCACACTGTCTATGCCCAAGTTCACGCTGCTGGACAATAGGGTTTTCACTGGCCATCACTTTCTTAACTAATTTATGCATTTGCATTGTAATATAAATTTTCTATTTAGCATTTTCTCACCAGACTGCAAGCTCCAGTTTATCTTCTTTATTTCTTTTTATGGCCTTGGATGTCTAGCCTAGAAGTGTCTGACCATATTCAGAGTAGACTGCCTCTAGATACTTGCTGAATGAGTCAACAAATGAATAAAGGACTCCTTTACTTGTCTTCAGAAAGATGACAATAGCTAGAAGCTCTAGAGTCTTTGGATATTCAGGATAAGACATGAGAAAGGGGGACGCCCAAATGAAGGACATATTGGCCTTGCTTCCATCAAGACTCAAAGGCAGATGCGAGAATAGGCCAACAGAATGAGCCCCTTCTGAGGCCAGAACAGGAGGCGAGCAGGCGTGCTCTCCCAGGTCTCCAGGGCTCCCCGTCCCATTTGCCCCTCTGCCCAGCCATGTACATTCAGAGGATACCAAAAGTAAGCCGAGCAGAAATATCTAATTACATTTACATCTTACAGGCAGGGGGAAACATATTTGCAGAGCCAAACATTGTTTTACCAGTAGCCTTACTACCTGCAATCTAAAGGACATCACATGCGTTTTTTGTTTTGTTTGCCTTGCTTATTTCTGGGATTGTGGTTTCTCTTTAGAATAGCTCTAGGGTGGAAACGTGGTGAGTACTCCTGAGTTATTAAAACCACCACTGCAGTCTTCACATTCAAACGTGGCAAATATGAAAGGTGACGCCCATTTCACCAAGCTATGAAAATATTGGGGGGATCAAATAAGAGGAAAGAAGCCTCTACATACATTCAACAAATGTCTCAAAGAGATCCAACCCTTTGCTCTTCAAAGTTTTGGGCATCAACTTTGTTTTAAGAGAAACATCATGGGGCTGCACCTTTATTTGGCTAAATACATGGTTTTAAGACATTAAGCTAGTCATTTACAGGTTTCTGCCTAAATGTTCAACCACATTTTAAGCATGAAACCTTGTGGTTCATGAGTTAACAAGATGCCACCAAAGAAAACACTGCTGCATGGGGTGTTGCTCTTGATGTGCTTGGAAACGGCAGATGGTGGTGGGTTCCCCGTGGCCTCTGCGTTTGAAAGCACTGGTTTGCTAATGGTTGGTTTCAGGCTACAGTGGTCCATAAACTGTTTTGTTCTTTTTCTATGGTCTGTGAATGATATGCTTCAAGAGATGGTAGCTGATTTTGTTTTTCATTTTCCTCCCTAATTTTCTCACTAAAATGTTTAATTAGTGAAAAGGCAACATATTTATAGATATAATACAACAGTAGAGGAAAGACTGTTTTAAATATATACACAACATGTTAATTAAATACACACACACACATACATCTAAAGGATACTTTAAATTCACGCACATGCCATTCAGAAAACTATACTGTTACATTTCCCTTGAGTATGATGAAAGTGAAATGACATACGAACAGCAAATATTTCGAGATATTTTAAGATAAAGGAATATATGTATGCAAAAATACTAAAAGGAATGTTTACTGTTACATTTCAGTAATATAAGATCTAAGAAGTGAAATATATTGAAGACTCACAATAGCAGACACTCCATATGCACTATCTTATTGCTCATAAGAACTTTAAAATAAGTATCATGATCCTCATATTAAAAATAGGGAAACTGAGGCTAAGAGAACATAAAATGAGTTTTAATTCTAATGAAAGATGTATGAATGGTTATGCCAGTAATTTCTAAATTTGCAATTTGCTCTTACAGCATTATTTTAAAGCAATAATACAATAAACATTAGTGACACAATATTTTGAATGACAACACTAAAGCTCTCTAGTCCAATCTGATTTCCAAAATCCTTAATAGAAAAACCAAAACCAGGAGTTAATGGAGACTGAAAAGAAAAGTCCTGGAATCAGGAAAACAAGAGAAAAAGTAATGTATTCTGCAAGGCTACAGAACATAATATAGAGATATTATGATAAACAATAAATGAGAAAAAATGTTTTATAGAGTCATTCAGTAAATTGTGTTGTAGATAAAAATAATGAAATATAAAAGTTAATTTGAGATTAATATTGTATTTTTCTACATTCAATACAAGATTCCAATTATCAGTAAGCATTGGCCACCTAAGAAAACAAAAATGTAAGTTATTAGGGACAACAGTTATTTTTTAAAATTGAAATACAGTTAACATACGATGTTATGTTGGTTTCAGGTGCATTACACAGTGACTTGACATTTGCCTACATTATGAAATGATCACTACGATAGGGACCAGTAATTATTGGTTACACCTGCAATGCTTTATACATTTCCCAGGCTGTCAAATGTTCAAACAAGAAGTGAAATCTCCATTCTCACAAAAATTTACAGCAGATATATTTTCGAAGCTCAAACTGTACTTCCAGTAGCATTTTCGGGCCTCGATGGAAGTATAAAGGAAATACTTACATTTCAAAATTTATTTAACAACCACAAAAAATTCATTTAACTAATGAAATTGAGAAGCTTCCATTTAACTTCAATTGAAGGTGATTAATCGGCAATGGAATGACAGGATAAAAGGCCAATATCAAGAGACAAATCTAACAGAATTCTATAAATGCCTTCCAAGTAATGAATATACTCAACTAAAATCACATGCTAATGGGCTTATATCAGCATTTGGCTGGGTCTATCTGTGTGAAAAAACATTTTCAAACATAAAATACGATTTCATTAACACATGTCCCTTTTCAGTCAATTTCAGTAATAGAGAACATCAACATTGAACATTGTGCAAAATTTAAGGGAAGGATCACAAAATGGGATTTTATTTATTAAGCCGCTAATGTTAAGAGTTTATCCACCAGAGTATGTGTAATTTATTGCATCAATTTGCCCTACGTAAGTTCAACCACAGAATTACCTACTTAAAACAAAAATTTTTTTCTTTTTTCATTAAGGTATAATTGGCATACAACATTATATTAGTTTCAGATGTACAACATTATGATTTGATATTAATACGAATTTTGAAATGATCATCACAGTAAGTCTAGTTAACATCCAACACAATTTTTTAAAATTTAAATCACCCCACTATCTATAGGATATGAGCTAGTACTCAAATTACAACCTCAATATATTTTGTCTCATTATGATACATAAATTATGCTATCTCTGATTATATTTTATACAAATTAAATTTTGTATGATTTTAACTATCACATCCTGTTTAATTTTTATATCTGTCACACTGGGAATTATTTTATCTTATAGAATGACTTTGGCTCAGAGTAGTCAATTAATTTGTCTTAAGTTACTGGGACAGAATTTAACCCAAATATGTGTGTCTTGAAGTATGTCTTTTCACAGTCTAACTCTAACTGATGTCTATTTACTCCCATGACAGCTTCCAACGCAGCTGAGCTGAAGCACTCTGAGCTGATGTGAGAGCAGAAAAGGGTCAAGACCTTGGTGTGCTCAGTGTTCCCCCTGGTTACAGACCCTATTAAATGCATTTCACTGGCCCTGGTCTGTCTCCTTTATACTCTGATTTTACTCAAGGTAGCCACTTAATTAAAGTTTAAGTATCGATGCTCTGACTTCATTATAGCATAAAGTTAAAATTAAAATCCACAAAAAGATGGGTACACCAATGTTTACTGTAGCTTTTGTCATGACCGAAAAAAATTAGAAACAAATCAAGTGTCCACCAACAAGAGTATGAATAATCAAATCATGGTATATTTATACAGTGGAATACCACACATCAAGAAAAACAATGAACTACTGTTACATGATCAAAATGGATGGGTATAGAAAGTATTATACTCAATGAAAGAAGTCAGACACAAAAGAAGACTTACTGTACAATTCTGTTTCTATAAAGTTCAAGAGATGGCAAAACTAATCTATGGGATAAAAATCAGAATAGTGGTTGCCTCTGGAAGACAGAAGGAATAGACTAGAAAAGAAGATGAAGGGATATTTAGAGTACTGGAAATACCCTATGTGTTGATTTGGGTACGAAAAGTGGTGATGGCCACAGTCAAGAAAGCCAAACCAAGCACAGGAAAATATATACAAGATCTTGTGGTAGCCCATGGTGAAAAAGAATGTGAAAATGAATATACGTATATTCATGTATGAATGAAAAATTGTGCTCTACACCAGAACTTGACACAACACTGTAAACTGACTATAACACAATAAAAATAGAAATAAATAAAAATTAATTAATTAATTAATTTAAAAAATTAAGAGTGGGGCTAGGTTCCCATCAGCCACGATCCAACTGTGCAGCCTTGGGCAAATTCCTTAACATCTCTGTTCATTAGTTGTTTAATTTGTAAAACGAGGACTAAAAGAGTCTGTTTCTGAGGATTGTTAAGAGGATTAAATGAGATACATATGTTTAAAAAAAAAAAAGAAAGAAAAGAAAGGCAAACTAGAGCTCAGAAAGAAGGTACACCCAGCAGTGGTAATTTGACAATGCAAGTCATACCAGAGAAAGATGATGTGTTTCTTTATTTTGAAACACTATGCAGGGGGCATAGTAAACAATAAATGCAAGATGAAAGATTCCACCATCACAGGACCTGTTGCAAAGGGATGTGCAGACTTGTGGTCCACGATGCATCCAATGTTGGCAGCATTGCATGATTCCTCACTGTATTTGTAAAAAAATAAAATTATTTGCTTCTAATGTTTGCCTTCTAGCTCTTTTCTACATTTCACCCTTCTTGACACTTGCCTCCTTTGCAAAATGAAACTACTCAGTGCAGACTCTGGGCATGTGTAAAAATAAAGAAAGAAAGAAACAGTCCTTGCAAAAAAAAAAAAAGACCTATGTAGTTTACTATATGCATTTATAGCTTAACTTTAAAAAAAAAGTTTGTTAAAAGCCTCAAGGTTGCTCTATATTCTAATACTACTTTAAGCCCTAACAGCTTTGAACCCATGCTAAGTGCAACCGAGCAAGTATGTTTAATTTACTGCATCAACCCTGCCTCATACGGACACAATCACAGAACCATTGGCCAAAGCATGGTACAATACAGAGGGAAAACAAAAAGAAAAAGTACTCTTCTGAGTTAGATGGTCTACAGAGTTTAATTTAAAATAGCACCATAGTTGTCCATGCAGTGGATGCTGCAGTGACTTATTATTCTCTCTATATATACATATATATATATATGGATCTGAAAGCTTTAAGTGCGATCATAAGTTTTTTCCTTACTGTGACTGTTAAAAATGAAATTCTACTTGTAGAGCCTATAACTTTGGTATGGTTCTAAAGAATAATGTGAATGTGAACATGCTGGTAAGATAAGAGAAGAAAACTTATAGTAAGAGGCAGAAAAATTGATTTCCAATCCTCTGGAAATGAAACCAATTCATGTATTTTGGAGTTGGTGGAAGTATTTTTCACAGGGCTAAGACAATGAAAAAAATCTCTCTCAGCTCTACTAAATTCACATTTAACACCCATACTGGAATCTTAAAAAAGTTTCCTGGAAATGTGTTTATTTTATTTAGTTTTGATAAGTTTGCTATCTGTTCTTTGAGAAAGAAAAAAATGTCAAGTGAAGAAATACTATGAAAGGCATTGTTTGATGGTTTCCTTAAGCATCTTGTGCCACAAGTGAGCTTACTTCATCCTCTTCACAAAGAAATTATGGACAAATTTCTTGTTTTAATTTTATTGAGATATCGTTTTACCTTTTTATTGGGAATCTTCATATCCCCAGCATTCATCTGGCACTGTTCCTAATACATAGTAGGTGATGAAAACAACAGATGGTTGGATGGATGGATAAAAAACTTTGGAGAGTCTATTGCTTGCAGCATCACAGACGTACAAACAGAAAAACTGGCTTCTATTACTACTGACCCATAGAAATATCAATTTGGAACCTTATGAAAAAACTGAAATTAAGAGGCTACCAATCTTCTACCTCAAAGAGTGCCTTTGCAGCCATTAGGAAGACAAGTAAGTCTACAGTCTTTTGGTGTACGGAATATTATTGCTTAACAAGAATGTGTTTTAGAAAATTATAATCTCTCTTCAAATTTTGGGACAAATGTCTAGATTGAATTAACCAAACTCTCCTGAAATATGAATTTTATTTTAGGAAACAAATGAAGCAACAAATTTCTCCCACCAGTGTCATGGAAGAGCTTCGTGAAGTTCTGAATTTTCTGTGCCTTTCTTATGATTAGGTGCAGTGAAGTGTTCAGTTTCTCTTAGACCCGTCTTTTTCTGCCACTATCTTTGCTCACACCTCCCACCCCCACCCCCCCTACCCCAGCTATCACTGGTACTATGCTTGAAACTTCTCTGTGGGCCCCAGAGCTGGAAAGTGTTCCCTTAGCCATCCTATGCCTCATTTGATACACTCTGCTCCATTCTTTGCAGTTCTTTAGATTTGGTTGTTCTCAAATAACCTGTTCTTTTGTGAAGCCCCTGTTTAGTCCTAAATAGAATCTACCACCAAATTTAAAATATCCAAATCCATAGGGAACTTCTGTCTCTCATGGTGGCCAACACTCCTTCCACCACAAACACCAAATCTGTTCTCTCCTGGGTGGTGGCTTCTCACTGTTTGACACGGTAACATAAACAGAAGCAAAGACTCTGCCCATTTACCTTAATAAAGTATGAACTTGAATATGGAGCAGGCGCTCTTGAGCTATTACAGGAAAACATAATTACAAGGAGGACCTGGCTCTGGTTTTGAATCAGCCAGAAATTGTAGGCAAATCCCTTGACCCCCACCCTGGACATAAAGCCACAAGACCAAGGGGAGGGCAGCATCTCCTGATGCCAGCTCAACAGAGTTAAAGAATAATAAGAAGTTCATGTGTTTTAAAAGATTTTCTAACCTTGTAGAATTGGCTCACAAAACTTGAATTCTAATGGGCTATAATTGTCCTATTTTCCTTTTCCTATTGGGAATACTGAATCTGGCTTATTTCAACTGTTATTTAATTTTACATTTCTACCAAAGAATAACTCTTTCTAGGTTTTTAGATATTTCTATCTAAAAAGGTCAAAACCTCACATTTTTGTATATAGAGATTATTGTTCCAAAAGAGAGACTTTGTCAGACATCAGGTGAAAACAGGCAGTTCAACATTTTTGATGGCGATGGTAATGACAGTGACAAAAGATCATGTTTTCCAGAATAGTTAAATTTCTTGCTTAATCTGATTTATTTTATTTCTGACTTGGCCTATTATTTAACTTGTCATCACTTTTTTCCACCTGACTTTATTATAAATTTTTTTAAATTTTTTCAGATTTTAAAAATTGAGGAGAGACATGTCATCTTATCCTTTGCCTCAGAGCATGGCTGTGCCTGGAGAATACAAAGGTATAAATAACCATCTTGGGTTTTAAAGTCTTGCTAAGAAATGCATTTCTTATGCATTAAAATTTTGAATCTAAATAATTGATATTTTATTCTTAGGGAAGTGCATAAAGTTAAAAGGAGGAAAGAATTTAATGTGTTTAGCTCAAATTTTGGCATAGCAGGAAGAATTCATCCTCAGTAACAAAGGTTACATACAAGAAAATCAGTATTTCAGTCAGGTACCCTGTATTCAGTAAGTTCTTTCTATATGTGCAGTACCATGACAGCAATACAGAGTTACTTGGAAATAGAACAAAGCAATGAATTACCTAGAAAATACCAAAAGAAGACAGAAAAAACCCTAAAACCCTCGACATTTTCAGAACCGAGGATCTAGATCAAAGCTCAGATAAGAGGAAAAAAACAGCTGCAAGAAAATGACACATACATACATCATTCTTCCAAAAGGGATAAACTTGCTTGGAATGCACTGGGCCAGAGGTATCCCTAAGAATCCAGACTGAACACATTCAACAAAAAATGCTAAAGTAAATCCCAATAAACGTCCACTAAGTGACCAGCTGGCCTCAGATGTCCAATGGCTGTTGTAACCTTTACGGTTGATGCAATAGAATGAGCCATATCCTACAAAATTACAACAAGACCACAACTAAAGACTGGCAGTGATTTGTTTTTTGTGGAATCACAAACTGTTATTATTGCAGATCATTGCAGAAGGTCCAAGGCTATGGGAAACCTAAGGAACACCAAAAATACAACCCCAGCTGGTAACTAAAAGACTATATTTGTCAATTGTGCAACTTCTGAAATGATTTCTGAGAACACATTTCTCAGTTCTTCACTAAAGAATGTGCTGATCTGGTTAAAAACATTAGGCATTTTAACATCACAAAGTAAACCTTCAGGAAACAGGTTTTTCACAAAGCAATTGAATAGTCAAGTAATAGTGTGACAGTTTCTCTTTGGTAACTAAAAATTTGTTTCTATCTGAAAACACAAAGAGGGTTAAAGGAAATTATTAAATAAAAAATGAGATCAAAATGATCTCTCAGTCTGTCCATACGTTGAAAAGAGTATTGTTTATTCCTTCCTTAACTGTGGCTGATAGAGACAAGATAGCCCTCCAGAAATCATTATAGATTCCCTTTCCCATTCTTAGACATTACAATGGTTTGTGTCCCTTCAAAGCTCAGCAAAATCTATCCAACAAAATCTTGTTCCTTAGTATCCAACAAAGTGTTATTCCTTAACAAAAATCTTATTCCTTAGTATTTATCTAATACTATTTGACAAAATCTTATTCCTTAATGTCTCCTTAGGGAGACATTAAATTAAAGTAAAATTTTCTTTTTAATGGGCAATAAAAAAAAAGGTTGAGAAACACTATGATAGATGGTCTTTCAATATTCATTCTTAATCAATCTGCCATTATTTTAAGACTATTTATTGGATAAATGTCCTATGTCAGGCATTGTGATGAGTGGTTGGAGAGATGATGGTAAATAAGATCCTGTACCTGTCCTCAAAAACTCCCAGTCCATCCAGAAGTCATGAGAGATAAGCAATCATCCCTAGGAGAGAAAGGCCATTACTATCATACGGGTGCTTTGGAAACAGAGGAGGCACCAATCTAGCCAAAGTGAAGATAGGGATCAGGACAGTCTTCTTTAGGGTGTGACTTCAGAACTGAGTCTTGAATGACTAGTCAGAGTTAGACAGACAAAGAGAGTGTGTTGAAAGGCCCTCAGAAAAATACATAGTACAAAGAAAAGGAAAGGAAATACTTTAGTATGACTTCAGCTTAGTGTGAGGCAGGAAAGTAAAGGGGGTAGGGCTGTGGTCACATGAATGAGCCAGATCATGAAGAGCCTTCTCTGCAACCCTGAGAAGTGTAGATTTTATCCTGAAGCTATTATAGCCATGGAGGATTTTAAGCGAAGATTGAAAATATATTACTGATATTTTAGAAAGTTTATTTTGGCCACAGTGTGAGAAATGGATTGGAGAGAAAGACAATAAAGAGGTTCTCATAGTAACCCAGCTGAGACAACATGACCTTAAGTAAGATAATTAGTAGGGAGGGTGGATGGAAGTAAGATTTGAAGGGTGTGGAATTGACAGGACCACATTGAAGTGGGAGGGGTAAGGGACAAATAGAAAAATAGAATGAAGGGCAGTTGGGAATTTGAGGTAATTTTGGAACTTTCAGGTGGAGATTTCCATTATAAGTTTGATAATATGTGTGACCCTAAAACATAGGAAGATAATTTGTATTAAAAAACAAAAACAAAAAACAAACAGATGGGTAAGTGAAGCCATGGGAA